TGGTAATTTTGATATTCAAATACAATTTTTATGGGGGAAAAAATAATGTGTTTGTTAATTATTACACCCAATCCAATTAAAATTATTAATCAAAATTTTGAATGATATGTTTCAAAATAAATATGATATATAGTAAAAAGAACTAAAATCAATTTTTGTGTTTATCCATTTTGTTAAGTTCTTGTTGTCCGATAAAAACATTACTAGATTTTGTGAGAAAAAAGCTTACCTAACCCACATGGACCAACATCACCATTTCAGCTTGGTCCATGCGGGCTAGGTGGGCTTTATTCTGGGCCGTATCGGGCTTAGACTTGAAACGGAGCATGAATTCGATTTAATTGAAAGAATAAACCGATTCGGTTATTGACCGGTTAACAAAATTAAGCACCCTTATAAAAATCCCTCTTTCTCGTTCTTCTCTCAAAATTAGGGTTCTTGCGCTCTCGCTTTATCGCCGCTAAGCTCTCTTTGTCTCCGTTTGCTCATCGTTTTCAGGTTTCTTCATCGTTCTCAATCGATTGCAATCTCTTATAGATATCTCGAATTAATCTCATTTCATGTGTTCTAGATTCGATTAGAATTCTGCTCTGTTTGTTAGATAATTGGAATCTTCTTAATTTGATATGTTTCGATTCGTAATCAGTAATCACTAATCTCGTGCTAAGTTTTCTCCGATTGAGTCACTGATTCATGAGCAATACACCATTGAAGCTAGGTTAATACTTGTCTAAGATTTTGGGTCTTGAATCGTTTACCTGTAAAGTTGATTGCTTTAAAGGAAACAATCTCTGGTCTTGTTGTATGCATTGTCTTATGTGTGAATTCTGATGTAATTTGGTCTTATGGTTGTTTATTGAATCAGAAAATGGATTCTCAGACTAAGCATGCTGTGGTGGTCAAGGTCATGGGAAGGACTGGTTCCAGGGGTCAGGTCACTCAGGTTCGTGTGAAGTTCACCGACTCTGATCGTTACATTATGAGGAATGTTAAAGGACCAGTGAGAGAAGGTGATATCCTCACTTTGCTCGAGTCCGAGAGAGAAGCTAGGAGACTTCGTTGATGCGTTTCTTCTTCTCCGCGAGCGGAAACAAGAAAACAGATCAGCATCTGGATTAATGATTATGCTTTGTCGTTGAATTTTGTTGCTTGTTTTAAGACGATTGCAAGATTGTTAAGTGTTCTGCCTTTTTTGGTTTTCCAAGTCTCTTCTATATGTTCTTTCTCAAGCTCTATATCATCAAAGACTTGAGACCACTCAGCAAGAATTTGCTTTTATATTTTCAATCTTCTTCAAACGTAAAAAACCAAAAAAATCACATCTTCATACCAAATGAAAAACCATTTCTCGAGTGTTTTTGCTGTATTCTTAACTTGGGTAAGCAATGGTTCTGCGTTGCCGTTTACAGATCATGGATTTCGAAGAAGTATCGTTCTATGGGTTCGGGTTTTCTCAATGGAAACTAAGCATATTGAGTTCCAAGTTGCTTGCATCAACCTACACTGCTATAGAAAAATCTACAAGCCTTAGATATATCATATACTCCATAACAAATATGTTCTACAAGTTCTCTGTGTTTCAAAACTCTACTTCAAGTAGCTTTCGAACCAAATCATACCGTATCACATCCTTCTAGCCTGGTCCGTTTTGAGACCGTAGGGGGGCTTAGACATGAAACGGCTCAATTTTGGGATCATGACTCATTATGTGTTGTTTGCGACATCTTTTGGATTAAGCTTCCTAAGCTAATTGATGTTTCATTTTGAATAATATTTTCTTATGCGAGGATCTATAAGCAAGATTATAAAGTTATTTATTTTGCTTTGTGTCATGATTCTGATTATTTTCCCAATCTGGTTAAATTCTCAATTAAGTCTTGCTTCTTTAAGAAAATAAATAAAATTATCGTTTAGAGATTCTCCACTAAAAAAAGTCCATAATAACAATTATATTACATAGGACCTTTGTGTTTGATTAATATATGTCTTCGAACGATTTTTTTTTTGGGAACTTTTGAGGTTTTATAATCATACATATAATCTTTAATTTAAAGGATCGTTTCTTCACGTAAACTCTTGGTTTAACTAATTTCAATTTATAAGTTTCTGATCGATGTTTCTTTTGAAGAATCAATGTGTTGTCATTCCACGAGTGGGGAGTCCCAAATCTGCGACATCTTTCTTTAACCTCAAATTATTTGGGTTATTACTTTATTATATTCCTTTGTCATATGTATGCTTTTGTACGAACTATGATTAATGGTATTTAAATTCATAGTAACTACCTACTAATTTGTTTTTAATTAGCTTCATTTCTGATTGCGAAAGGACAACAAAAAATCCCATCTTACGACAGTGAAATGACCTTTGAGCAATACTTTTATCCGTAGTTGTAATAGAATCAAGTACTATGAGAATGTTAATATAACAATTTCTTAATCTTGGCCAATCAAATGTTTTGAAGAAATTGTTTTTGAATTCATGGGCCGATGAGTTAAAAAAGGCTCTCGAGTTGATTTATTCGGCGAGATATCTAGCTAGGATTTTTGTCGAATTCTAGACTTTTATGGGTTTTGTTCTTGATGTCACAAAAGATTATAAGGTTCTCTAAAATTAATGGACACAATTATTTACTAATGTAGCGATTTGATTGATATGTAAAGTCTTGGTCATAGACTCATATAGAAGTTGAAAACATGAATTAACATAAGAATGATATATGCATAATATTAAACTAAAGTCCGATTAGTAATTTCAAACGACAAAAAAAAAATTAATCAAATATACCGATACTAAAATGAAAACCGAAATTGTTTTTAGTAAGCAAGAAACAAAGATATAATTTTCTTATTCAAATGCCATATATGATTTCCTATGACATAAGATACACACGATATTTTTCTACTGATTTGCTAATGGAAATCGATTTTTTTTTTTTTAATCGAGCTTCTGCTAGTTAAGATGCATACAAACACTCAACACATGAATTAGTCGCTAGCTAACTCCAGCCACTGCACTGAAATATAAAAATAAGATCTATGGAATCTCTATATAGATAGGTTGATGCTCACTCAACTCGTTAAAAAAAGAAGACAATTTTATTAATATCTTATGTTTCCTTCATGCACTGGATATTTTAGTTAAATTTAGGCGTCATACGTCCAGACATTATATAACCCATTTTTCTATATTATTATGTAAATATGGTCATCTAGACATTAGTAAAATAAAATAAGTCATAATAATCTATGATACTCACTTCATTATATTGTAAATTAAGGAGTAATTCATATATAATTCAGCGTAGGCCTTACTTTGAATTGATATAACTAATACTTTTGTATATGATTGATACAAGAGAAATTTGAAAAATGTTACTTTTCAAAAATAACACATTTTTAAAAATTTTGCAAAAATGTAAATTTTCAAA